CTATCTGTGCATACAAAGCTTGACAAGAAATGTAAAAATATCTTTATTAAGTTTGAAACAATTTATCAAAATATAAGACTTAAATTTTAACATGGTCTGGTTGTAAAATATTTTATATTTTTTTCCAATTTCTGCATTTTAAAATTTTAACTTTTTTATCAAGTAATTTATGCATATCTAAAACAAATAATTTATTCTATCGCTTAATAAAGTTCTGTTGCATGTAAACGTACAATAAACAAACAAATTTAATAATAATATATATTATATCAATTATATCAATTATAATAAACTCTATTTTATAGCTTTTTTTATTTTATGCAACTTTGTATGCACATACAATAAATCGACGAATAATAATTATTCAAGGAATTAAATTACTACTCAATCTTGAGCTATCCATATTTTAAAAGGCAACAAATTTATATGATATACTTATCTATAATATTCTTATACCCTTAACTAATAATTGCACTTTTGAAAATATATTAATAACCAAATAACCTGAATAAATGCATTCAGATATCAAGAAGTTTGTGAATATTTGACTACTGTATCTATTATCGTTGAGAATTTAAATTTTTATATATTAATAATTGCTAAGAAAAAATATTGTTTATTATTTCCGGTTTTTCTCATATCGTATTTACATTTATGTCTTATTTATGTTTCATATAATTTTTATAAATTTATTACTCATTTACATACATGCAACAGAACTTTATTAAGCGATAGAATAAATTACTTATTTTAGATATTCATGATAAAATAGAATTGCTTGATAAAAAAGTTTAATTTTGAAATATAGAAATTGGAAAGAATAGAAAATATTTTACAACCAGAACATGTTAAAATATAAGTCGACTTATGTCGACTTATATTTAATCGGAAATAATTAACAATATTTTTTTTTAGCAATTATAATTAATATATAAAAATTTAAATTTGCAACGATAATAGATACAGTAATAAAATATTCACAAATTTCTTGATATCTAAATGCATTTATTCCTTAAGTATTAATATATTTAAAAAAGTACAATATTATCAATTAAGTGTATAAAAATATTATACATAAGTATATCATATGAAATTATCTTAGAATAGAATAGTTAATTAACCATAATAATTTTTTAAAGCAGTTTATTAAAGCATTTAAATATATTGTAATATTTACAATTGGTTATCAGTACCCCATTTATTAATATTTGTCAATAAATTTGATGTATGTAATATATGCACGTGAGAAATCAAAAGCCAATTTTTGCTAGACAATAAAAATAGATTTTACGTGAGTTATGATAATCAATAATAGTGGATGACAAATCAGTTTGCGCGTAATTGTAATTACAAATGCATAACGATTTGTTATCTAATTTTTATACTATATTTACACAGATAACAATAATTTTTGATTAATTAATTTTTTTCTTAGATTTTGTACATAGCAAATAGATGTTAAATAATGTTATAATCATATGTTATAATCATCAATCGATATTCTGACATGTTAGTTGATAACAACAAATTAATTATTACATAATTATAATACTTAAGCCTAAGTATTATATGCATATCACAAAGAAACTTTTTTTATCTAGTCTTCCAGTCTATTAAGATATGCAAACCATGAAGATATTTAAAAAGTGTATATTCTGAAAGCATTAATGAACTTATTTTAGTTTTATTTTATCGCTTTCACTTTTTCCGCATTTTTCGTTGTTTATTAATACTTTAAAATTTAATTAATTATGATGTATTTTAATATTCTAAAACTATTCTATATCATATCCTCAGGGTGTTCTTATTAGAGTTTCTAAAAATTTTAATGTGTGCCAAAAAAGCTTGACAATAAGTATATAGCGATAACGTCTTTATTAAGCTTTGAACATAATTTTTCACAACACCTCCACGGAAAGTTCGACTTTCCATGTTTGTAGAGAGGGACGAAAGTGGCCAATTTCACGCCAGGGAGGAAAGTTGTTACTTTCCTCCCGCCAAACAAGGACGAAAATGGTCACTTTCCTTCCTAGGGCAGAAAGTAAAGTAACGGGCAAATTTTAAAACATATATAAGAAGCTTTCTAGCAAGTGACAAGTCGACACAAGTGTCGCTTTGTCTTTGTTACTTATTGCCAAAAAAGAAAGATACAACGATGTTTGTGTCGATTTGTGTCGCTTGCTGGCTGTATCATGACTGAAGATACATCTAAAATACAAAATAGAGAAAATAATCCAATCTTTTAATTCCAAAATTGTAGTGTAAATATTAAATTCACTAATTAATGCTTATTCTTTGTAAAAATTATATTTTTTAATTATATTTTAAAAATTAATGACGATGATACGAGTCAAGCGCGGTACGTGGCAAATAGAGAATTAATAGTTACAGAAGTAACGAATTAAAATGTATATATACGTATATACATATATTCCAACTTAATAAACTGCGCGCCGATTATTTGTCGGACTTGAAACACAGCTATCGTTGGAACATTAATATTTTTCACAATAATTTCTTTACAGTTTTTTATATAATTAAATCGTGTAGATTTAATTCCGGGGAGGGAAGGGTATTAATGTTCCAACGATAGCTGTGTTTCAAGTCCGACAAATAATCAGCGCGCAGTTTATTGCGCCCATCGTGTGCTACTTTCGCCCCTTGGTGCACAATATACTATAATCGATTCGATTATTTTTATGTTACAGAAAATATTCACGCGCGGGAAGGAGTATCTTCGCATTTACCCAAGCAAAACTCTTCTTCTACTTGGGTAAAAATTCAATGACGGGGAAGCTAACGTACTCTCGACCGCCGAATTAATTGAATAAACGAACCGCAGCCGGTTCGTCGCGTTTGCTTCGGGAGTGCCGTTCAAGTAATCGGACTAAAGGACTTTTTTTAAACGGGAGTGCCGTACAGTATCGCGCGAGAAAGACTTTTAATGAAATTAGTCCGCGCGCAATTGTAGTTTATTATCCGCGAGTGTTTCTCGCGAGTGTCCTGTGCGGTGAAAGGAGGAAGCCTGACGTCCTGAGAGGAGGAGGAGGTCTGGAGAGAGACATCGGGCACCGACGGAGCAACCTTGGGGTAAATATCATCTCTTAGCTACGTAAAATTAATAATTTGTCTCCATTTATTTGAATTGTTTTATTTAAATTTTGATAAGTTAAAAGTAATTAAAGAAAGAGAAGTTATCTAAAATGTTATTCTTGCAAAGATCTTTTTCGATAAACAGATAATTGTATTGCTAAATATTTTATTGAAAGACGAATTAGAGACGCGTAAGAATCAACTTTTCAAATGTTAATAATTTTGAGCGCTTTTTTAATTTAAATCTTATGTTTGTATGTTACAGTATCACCGTATAGCTACGTGGCTGCATAACTCCGCCCGTTGCGCATCGAATCGGTGAGTCAATAAATAATTTTTTTATTGAGGTAACGAATCTACGAATATATAATTAAATATAGAGCAATAATATATCTCGGTACATGCCGATTTACAATAATTTGTAGTATGAAAATATTACATTTCGTAGATCCATTGCCTTAAAATGGATGGGCTAAAATTGATTATGGGAAATATTTAATCTTGGTATCATTTGTATATTGTTGTATTTGCTGATTGTTATTGATTTATTGTGCGATTGTGCTTGAGGAAATACTCGCACACTTCGCACGCACCGAGCTCGCGAAGAACTCATTAAATTATGTTAACGAACTGCCGCGTTTTATATAAATTACTTTTGAATAAAGTTTTTAAATACATAAATTAAATTTTTGAATTTTTATTACATAGATCAATTCTATTTAAAACTAGAGTAAATAATAAATATTTTAGAAACACAAGAAAAACAAAAAGTAAAATAATTCTCTAATAATTAAAGTAATGATTTTTTAAATAACATTTTTTTAGATTTCTTTGAAAAATTATTTTTGTAACATTATGTATATATATTTCTTTTTTTTAAACAAAAGAGATAAGTAAAATATTGTGTTACAGTTAGACGTTATAAGAAAAAGTATTAGATAGGGAAAAATTATGAGTTAGGATTTTAGGATGTGTTTTATTTATACTTACCCATTTATTCATTTCCATATATTTAACCAAGATTAAATATTTATAAATCGATGCAAGAAAGCAATATATAGATATATTTAGAACTTATTAGATAGAAAACGTGATAAAATTGTTATTTATTACTAAAATTTATTTTAACAAAGCATCGATTTTACCCTAATTTTTTGTAGCCTATCCATCTATTTTTAATTAAAAAATTGGCTTTATGCTAGATAAAGTCAAGTTATATGACGTGAGATTCTAAATATTCTGTCGAGATACTGAAAATTTAAATTATTTCAGAACTGATGATATAGTACAATTATTCAGTTTTGCAATAATAAATAACTACGTTATATAAAAAATAATTTAGATAGAAAGTGACAGAAAAATATAACGAGATACATTATCGATAATCGTAAAATAAAGATTTGCATATATATCATTTAATTATTTAATTATTTAATTATAACAATGCGGTTATTGATTAATTATAATATCAATTGTGCGGGAAGTTTCTTTTTTTCGGATCTCACATCATTTATTCTGTACCTATATCTTATTTGATACATTTTCGAGATGCGTACCGCATGAACAACATGCATAATAACGCATCTTTGTGTTTTCGCGGTCGGTTTTCGAGGTCAGTTTTTCGAGAAATTTTCATTATTAATTTTTTAATTTTGTCTACATTATAAATTCTAATTTTTCGCGGGATATAATTGAGATATTCATAGAACGCGAAGTAACATTTTTTTCTGTACTTGATTACAATTTTAAATTAAAAGAACGGGTCACGAAAAGAAACGGATAATCAATATTCTCAAGTAAATAACGGAATTAGTATTATAGAAATATTTTTTATCAACCTTGTGCAGTCATTTTATAAATTAATATTTTTTGGTAAATTAACATCTCTTGTGCATTTTTCGATACGATCAATGCGTCGCGTTAATGGTGGCCGGCGGAACGGGGGCCACCACCCCGCCGCTTAGATAGTCGGGCGCCTGTAGGGCATTCGCGTCGCTCGTCGCGCTGGTGGCCGGCGGAACGGGGGCCACCACCCCGCCGCTTAGATAGTCGGGCGCCTGTAGGGAATTCGCGTCGCTCGTCGCGCTGGTGGCCGGCGGAACGGGGGCCACCACCCCGCCGCTTAGATAGTCGGGCGCCTGTAGGGAATTCGCGTCGCTCGTCGCGCTGGTGGCCGGCGGAACGGGGGCCACCACCCCGCCGCTTAGATAGTCGGGCGCCTGTAGGGAATTCGCGTCGCTCGTCGCGCTGGTGGCCGGCGGAACGGGGGCCACCACCCCGCCGCTTAGATAGTCGGGCGCCTGTA